AGCTTGGGCTTGATATCAGGCTCTAAAGACAAGGTTTTTAGGTTTTTTTATAAGGCATTGGAGGGGAGAATCTGCTACAGGTGACGAGGGGGAAGCTCCCATGTTAAAGCAGGAAGGAGAGTGAAAGACAAGGAGGTGGAGAAGGGAAAAATTCCTTCGGCCAGAGGGAGGGAAAGACACAAATATAGAGGGCGTCCCCACCTATATTCTGTCAGTCCCGGAGGTTCAGAGACGAACCGGGAGGGAGGAGGATAGAAGTCATCACTTTACCCTCCATCACCTCGGCGAGGGCGAGTGCCCGGAGGCTCGACGGAACCCAGCACCGGGATTTTCGGGAGCCCTGGGCTCGGAGAAACAGAAATACCAGATTGAAGGAAAAAGTGAGAGAATGGGAGCTTCACCCTGAAGAGGTCGCCTCTAGTTGGGCTGGGAAAGGAGGGGAATGTGGATTGCCTAATGTGACGAGAGAATACCTAGGGGTCTGCCCAGTGCCCTGAAGGCCGTGGTGAGGTGTATTCTCTGTCTTAGGGCCGGGCGTCAGAGGGATACCAGACGATTACGGTAGCCCAGCCTAAGATGGTGCCCCCGGATAGAGACTTACGTTTAGGTGAGCTGGTGGTGGGTGCGGAGAGCCAGCGCCGGAGAAAACGGATGAGGGCGAAGCATCAACAGCGGGAACTGCCGAGAGAGTGAAGGAGGTCCGAGAAGGAGTCCCCTCGGGTAAGGGGTGAGCTCCTCCCGGGTTTCGGCACCAATGAAAGGACGACAGGACCCGAGCTGACAGTTCACCAGAGAAGTTCCGCTTTATTCGGGGGAGAAGCATACATTTATATAGAGCCAGGTTCCGGGAGAGGGTGGTTAGTACATGGGGCGGTAGTTGATTGGCCGGGGGCGGGTAATGATTTCTGATAGGCTGCACCTTGGTGCCGGCGAGATTGTTAGGACCCAGAAGAGAAAAGCGCCATGTTTTAGGGAGTGCCTCCTTTGGGTTCTTCTATGGGGCCTTACAGTAACTCTCAGTCCGAGGCCAATGGCTGGAGAACCTGGCAGACCATTGGTGCAAGTCCCAGAGTCTCAGAAGTGCCTCAAATTCAACTTGTCTAAAATGGAACTAGTGATCAATCTTCTCTCCCAAATCAGATCCTCTTTTAGTGTTCCCCATATCTGTGAATCACTCCACCATCCACCATCCATCATCCATCCATTCATCCAAGGCCTGAACAGTGGCATCATCCCTGAGGCTACTTCATCACCTCTTCACATCCAGGTTATCACCAAGTCCTGCTGATTTTGCTCCTACATTTCTTTACAGCCTGCCCAGTCATCTTCCTCTTCACCATTGTCCCCGTCCACTCTCCAGCCACATCCTCTTTTGCCCAAAAGACTGCATTGGCTTCCCGGCCAGTCTCACAACAGCTTGTTTGAGCCTTTTCTATTTTGATCTTAACTTTAGCAGTCAAAGTGATTTTTACAAAAAGCAAATTTGATTAGTTTTCCACTGTCCTCAACTTTCCACTATAGCCTATAAGATCCTATATAACATGGCCCCTTCTATTCTCTCTGGTGGCTGTCACTCTACTCTTCCACTCTCTAAACTCTGGGTTTCTTTTCTTTTTTTTGTATGTGGTAAAATATATACAAGGTGAATTTTACCATTTCAACCATTTTTAAGTGTATATTTCTGTGGCATTTAGTTCATCCATATTGTTGTGCAACCATAACCTGCCGAAGTCCAGCTTCAGTGAGGGGTGGGTACCCGAAAAGGGAGAGGGAGGGTCGGCGAAAATAACAAACACAGACAGAGACGTCAATGCATCAATATGCACGTTCTCTCTCTGCGGGCTGTCAGCGTGTTGCAGCTGGAGCACAGTAGAGCATGAGACTATGCCTTTTATTTAGATTTTTCTCTGCAGGGGGGTTTTGGGTACTATCCTTATTGTATCAGCAAGCTTAAATCAATAGTCCAAAAAGCAGGGAGGAAACTTTTTTAGAGGTCAGCCAGTCCTTTCCTTTCGTCAGCATGTCTCAGGTGATCAACTCATGCTTCTTTTTCCTGGAATCAGGTTATAAAATCCGAACCATCCCTTCATTGTCTTGAAGTTATCTTGTGACCTTTTTCTGTTAGCAAGCTGTGGTTAATATCCACCCTATTAACAGGGTGGCAGCTATTTTGTCTTAAATGTAAATGAACCTACTGTTCATATGGAAAAAGAACAGTGGATATTTGAGTAGCATTATCATGCACATTTTAAGGATATGCATTGGCTGTGGTCCTGTAATCTTGATCTAAATGTTAAAGTGTCCTTGTGCACAGCACCATCCCTCACAAAACTAGGTGTACTC